CGTGTAAAGATGAAAAGGATCTCTGTGTGATCATATGAAACTTTAGCCGAATGTGATAAATGTAGAACCACCAGTCGGCATTATGTCTGACTGAAGGAGAGTTGAACAAAGAATCTACAAAACCCTTGAAGACCTCAGACTGTGTCATATTTTGGGTTGTAAAATGAAGTGAGATTTTGAACAGCAGATTAAAGACTTGGCAGTATATGTCAGTGTGTTAAACAGAACCTCTGAGAGGCCTCAATGCATAAAATACAATCTAAAATATGAGCCTTCTTGCATAAGTTTCATTTTTGATAGTGTTTTTGCCTGCATTCACGTACTGCTTAGGCTTTCATTGTGTTAAGAGGGTTTAAAATAGCCTACCCCCCTTACCAGTGTGTAAGTTCTAGAGGTCAATGGGTCAGCAGTGATGTAATTGTCTGATGGCCTCTAATTAGACACAGGGTTCTTCTCTGACTGATCCTTTAAAATCCCCCGACACTGTTTTAGGCTTTATGGTGTTGCCTTACTGATCCACATACCTCTGCCTTTTTTTTAAAAAGCATGGGGAGGTTTGAAGTCTTTTCATCAAATGGGGTTCGCTAAGTTGTGTCAGAGATGGATCAGTTGACGCTAATGCAAGCTTGTAAGTTGTGGTTATATTATCTGTATCAACATTAATTTGAATACCATGCCACATAACAAAATCTGTTGCAGCCTGGGTGCAGGTTCATCCTGCATATGCACATCAGCAGTGTGCAGAAGACTGCTGCTGTGCTGCTGTGCTGCTGTGCAGGGTTTGAACTTTGAAAGCCTGTTGCCACACCACACTCAGTGATTTCATTGCAGGCGTTTTCCATTAGCTGTCAGAGGGAGTCCGTGTGTTGATCCAGCCAGCAACCACTGAAACTCGTCTTGCTTGGCAGAGACAACACTGAATCTCAGATGGTCTAATCTGGCAGCAAAGAAGAAAGTAACAAATGTAAAATATGGTGCAGGACGATGACAGATGAGGTCCCTAGAGCTTTCAAAAAAAAAAAAAAACCAACCCACAAACCCTCTTGAACTACATACACATGTTCTGGCTTTCGTGCATCTACTGCTGCTAAATCTTTCTAGGCTAATGCTAGTTGACCCTGTTGTTAAACCTGTTATCTGCGTGGTCACCATGGTAGCTTTACAGGGGCCAGCCCGCAGGTCAGCACGGATCCTAAGGTGGCTAGTTTAAGCAACAGCTAAATAACCTGGAGAGAGGAGGCAGCTGCTGCACTGGCGTTTGTTCTTCTGGTTGTGGAGCTTAGTTTCTTATGTGCCCAACTTTAGCATTGCAGTCAGCATGGCACATTAGCACAAAATCAAATCAGACCTGGTTTGCACCGAGCCGGGAAGCCACATCCAATCTCAAATGGTCACTCATATCACATCTGACACTGGCTACAACACCAGCTGTGAGGTGTCTCAGTTGGATTCAGACAATCTTGGAATTGAAAATACAAAAGTCTGAAAGGGCAAGTGTGTGTCAGCTCTTTCAAGCGGAAGCTTTCACTTCTTTTCATGCTGACCCATTGTCCCTCCTCCACCACCTCCGCCTCCTCCTCCTCCTCCTCCTCATCACAGAGCTATCAGAGTTGGCTCTGGACCATGAAACAGTCTGAGTCCTGCTGTGTGAACCTTGGCAGGTCAGTCAGAGACTGGGCATTACACTGCTTGGCCTCTTCCGTTCAACAGCACATGCTTTTCACATGATGCTCATGTTGAGTCATTCTGGCTTTGTTACAGCAGCTATCAGGACGTTTAAGCAGAAAGGCCTCCTGCGGGGTAGAGGGAGCAGGCTGGGACTGTTAATGTATTTTTGTGTATATAAGGACCAAATATGGACTGCCCCTGTGGTAATGCTTTGGGTTTATGGTCAAGATAAGAGCAGGACATGCTCTCGAGATACAAGTGATGTTGTCATTACATGGTGCTCACAAGTATAGAATTTCACATGTGTGAGCATGCCTTTCACAGGCAGTACTTTTATTTTTGCAGCAGATATAACTTCCAAATCCAAAACTGGAGCTCCCACACGTTTGGTTGTCTTTCTTTTGCAACAGCGGATATGGAGACCAGACAATCAGTCCATCCCCCAGAGCGTGCGCGCAAACACACACACACACACACACAC